TGCCTAGCTATATTCTGCCCTGTCATAGGCCAACACAGCTTTATTCATCAACCAATAAAAGCCACGCATATTGGCAGGGTAGAGAAGGACATCCCACATCAGCCGAGCACTCCTTACATCAAAACTTCAGCTCCAACTGATAAATTAATTTGATGATATTCAAATCTTCAACTCTGATTTCTACCTTAACTCTGGTGTCCGTTGCTTAACCCTGAGTGTCTACATAGATACCTGTGTAGGTGAAAGTTCTTATGCTTCCCTGGGGGGGGGAGGGAGGTTCTCCATTTTAGTCTGGCATCAGCTTAAATGCCACAGACCTACCCACAGACACCCTGCAGAACGTATGCCTGAGTGGCGTTTCTTCTGTTTGCCTGTTTTTCTCCACTGGGAGGTAAAGCCATGAGGCAGGAAACTCACTCTTCTCTCCCAGTACCTGGCAACTGTTGGATGCAGAAGTAAATAAAGAAATACATCCTGAAATCTAACACTTACGGCTGTTATGATAAACATGATAAACCTTTCTGGCTACGTGGTTCTCAACGTTCCCCCTAGTTTATTTTAAATACCAACACCAATGGCTCTGCATTGTGGAGCCCTTTGGTTGACATCCCAAGATGTGTGTGGATCATGTTCTGCACTTTTAGCTGCCCCAACAGGCATGATACATGGAGACCTGTCTCAAATGTCACTCAGAGGCTATTGAAACGCATGGATTGGGCCGGGTTTGTGGCTCAGCGGTAGAGGTGGGCTTGCGTAGCACGTGTGACTGTGACGCCCTACGTCTGATTCCCAGTAATATACACAGACTGGGGTGCAGAGCAGTGAGTGCCTTTTTGGACCACCGTGGGCGTCTCTACAGTTCTCAGGACTCGTTACAGAATGGGGCTGGTGTTTCACAAAGTTTCTTCAACGGTCAGTTCACAAACCCGAACCTTGACCTATGCCTTTCCCATGAAGTTAGATTTGATTCAGAAGTGATGTTTTTAAGTCTGAGGTGGTTTTTCCCAATTACCATAGTTCTCTTTTCTTTTATAGAGTCATTATCTTTAGATGGTTTTGCTTTTTTCTTTAGTGCCCTGCCTGAGCAGAAGAAAAGGCAGACAGTTCTCTGCCCACGTCAAGCTCTTATTAAATTCAGAGGCCAGGGTCTGTTGTTTTATACCTCCTGCACTGGAATGTCCCTACCATAAGCTCTCTCTTTTGTGTCCCACGTGCTGGAAGTGCTCTACTGTTTTTTAAAAATCCCTGTTAAACTCCGTCACTTGAGAGGACTTTAGATATTCCTTGGGCATTTTTTTCTGTTAGCAAGTAAGGACAGTGTGACCCATCAAACAAGCAAACTTCTGTTTTAGAATGTGAGGTGCGTCTGCACCCCTCCTTTCACTGAAGAGACCCTGGAACACGGAACGTGTCCGTGCCTGCTGGAACAAATCCCCAAGGAACCTAGGGCAGTTTGTCAGACAATGCCAACTCCACACCATGCCACCGGACACAACCCTGGAGCCGTGGAGACCAGGCTAGCTCAGTGAACTACACCCGTTTCACAATGTCCCCCATGAACTGGCCCTACTAATGCTAAGTAGTATATTGCTTCCACTTGGTTTGACTCGGTTTCTTCCAGCTCATGGCTTGCGGTGCAGCGCGCATGACTCTCTCTCAGGGCTGTCATGGCCAAGAACAGCACCGATACTCTGAGGGCAGGTCCTCCCTCCCTTTGAGTGCTGACCTTTAGGGATTAGGAAGTGGGGAGTTGGTAGGTGTTGGCCCGTTTCTTCGAAGTCACGATTAGCTAAGCCGTCCTGCCCGATACTAGGACTGTATCGACGTGACTGACAGGAGCGCTTTCTTAACAACTCGAGGCTGTATACACACACAGCGAAGATGGAGCCTTACAGCTGCTGGTCTCTAGGGGATGACAGGCCAGAAATTCATTCCAAGCCCTTAACCTAGTTAAAGCAGAAGAGTCAACTTTTGACTTTCTAAATTTTTATGGAAAATGATTATCGCCTTCCCAGAACGTTTCTTTTAAAACACAAGAATAGTGCGTGCAATTTTGGGCCTAAAGAGTGTTATTGGCGACTTGAGGCACATGAATAATGCAACGCTGGCGACATAGATGGCTCAGTGGGTCACCTGCTTCCTTGTTAGAAGAATGAGGACCCGGATTCGATTCCCAGCCCCCATGCAGTGTCAGGTGTGATGATAAGCGTGTGTAATCCTGGCCCAGGAACGTGGAGACAGGACTATTTTATTTGTTTGTTTATTTACTGGTTTTGGGACAGGCGTTTACTAGACCAACCGGCTACTCCTGTCTCATAATAAACTAATGAATGAGGCCCAAACGGTGATTGAGAAAATGGCACTTTGTGTTAACCTCAGGCTTACATACACACCACTCATGTTTGCACACACATGCATCCCCACCCAAAAGATACGTCTATCCTCCTTTTAAAACTAGGAAGCCCACTTGGTGAATAGAGTACAGGTAGGTTGTTATCGAATATCCTTCCAGGTCACGCTCAAATCTCATATGAAGGACTATCCTCTAGCGCTCCCGGCCCTTAGCAAAATCATTAGTGGCACCAGAGAGAGCCTTCCCACACCGCTGTGTGAAACTCGGCTCTGACCCAGATGCCTGGAACCTAAAATTAATCATCTGCAGACTTTGTCGGAGACCGCTAGCTCACAGAGCCCTACTTCCATTCCCGTCGGGCACCCAGCCCCTCATAGAAGCTGCAATGTCTGGAAGGCACTGGGTGGCAGCGTCCTTTGTGAGGAATTCCAGTCAAGCCAGGACGCTCTAAACGGGATGCTAGGCCAAGAACAAAGATGCCTCACGTCCTGGAGAACTTAGACACCTGTATTCCTGTACGTGTCTTGCAAACAGTCTTTTATCCCCTACTAAGTGCCAAGCACTGTATTCGGTTCCTGAACAAGAGCCAGGGGACCCTGTTCTCACGGAGTTTGCAGTTTTATGGAGAGACAATGACAGCCGCAACCCAAGATCAGGACAGGGTGAAATGGACACCGGGCTCTAAGAGTTGCTGAGCAGACACGCCAGGTGAGCCTCCGGTGACCTTGACTCTGTTTGATTCGCAAACATAAGCGAACCCTAGCACCAGCTATCCCTTCTAAGTGCCTCATCTAAAGCAAAAGGGAGCCCAGGCTCCACCAATCCAACGCGTGCAGCAACTGAATTGCTCTTTGTTCAAATAAACTCTCTAAGCTTTTACTGCCCCTCGGTTTACTTTTTAACAAAAGAAAACAACCATAACTTATTAAAGGCACCATTCATTCGTGAAATACCGTGTGTGCACAGTGTGAGCGCCCTTGAGCTGGGCGTTCGAAATCAGTTTGCTGACTCCCATGGGCCGTCTTCGTTCTATTTGGGGCAATATGCAAGCAGATGGGATACAGGTTTCCTCGCCTTTTAAAAATATGTTTGTGTTTCCCACCGGCTTTTGCAGGGAAATCCTACAGAAACAGCGTCGTTAGGGACGTCTTTATGCAGAAAAAGATGGCTAGGGTGGTGATGCCCCCAAAGTATTGCTTTGGCTGTTGAGACCCTGAGCAGGAGGAGGATGCCCAGTGAAGAGGGACTTTTCCATTTCCAGAGTGGGATGGGACAAGACGCCTAGAAGAGAGTAGGAGCCAAACATGTCGGACCTCACGTTTTCTGTGTGACACTGGGTCTTGAACGCACGGTGGCAGGCTCTGATTTGCCTTGTGGAATGCCACTCCTGCTGGGGTAGTCACAGAAGGTACTGGGGACAAAGAGTTCATGTTGGGAATCTCTGGATCTTTAAGCAGGTGGCGGTGCCCCGGGCTGGGTGGTGGTGGTGGTGCCAGATGTGTGCAGACCTACACCGTCATTTAGGGTGCACACAAGAGTTCATTTTAATGCCCTCTGCCGTGGTTTTGCAAAATTTTACATCGCACCCGGTAACTCTGTTCTCGGCGGTCTCCAGAGAGGTCATCTCCACGTTTGCTTGGAAGCCGAGTATCAGGCGGCGGAGCCCCAGCAGGACGTGGTCTTCTGTCTCGACAGACTTAAGCCTTTCGCTGATTGTCACGGTCTTCCTGCTTTCCCTTTTATCACAGACTCAGTGTACCTGTTGCAGGGGAAGTGTCTGTGGTTTTCGTGTCCTCCTTGGTCAGATCTTGAGACCATCTGGGGTAGTATAAACTCTTTCTTGAGCACGTTTTGCACACCTTAAATGCTCAGTTTATGTCTGTTTCTGGGTGTATGCATGTGCGCCCGCTTGTTTGCATGTGCTCAGTGCCTGCGGAGGCCAGAGGAGAGCACCGGACTGGAGTTGCAGGTGGCTGTGAGCTGCCCAGTGTGAATTCTGGGGACTGAGCTTAGGTTTTCTGCGAGAACAAAGAAAGGTCTTGACCCCAAGTCCGTCTCTCCAACTGCTTCCTTAGATATTTTAAACAGAAGGTTCTACTTGGCTCGTTCCCTCCCTTCCTTCCTTCTATGCAGAGCGTCTCTGTGTAGCCCTGGCTATACTGGAACTTGCTGTGTAGACCAGGCTGTTTTCAACCTCTGGGATTCTCCTCCCTCTCTCCTGAGTGCTGGGATTAATGGTGTGGGTCACCATGCTTCTACTTGATTCTTCATTTCTCATAATGAACTTCAATTTCCAATTTCAATCAGAAATAAAAACCTAGATTATGCTTATTGAATCTCAAACCCTTTTTTTCCCCGTAATTATAGCCAGGATCAAAATTCCTCCCTCAGGTCACTCCATGTTCTCACAGGTCTTCAGATGTCTGTCCTTCCAGCTCAGGTAACTTCTTCACAAATAATTGAATTCCTTTTATTTTTTCTAGAGCTTTTCATTGAGTTCATTTTGGTTTACAGATCTCTTAGAATTATTGTTTTCTCAACGTTTCAACTTTTATCACTCAAAAGAATTAATTTTACTCTTCTAAGTCAATGTTCTTTCTAAATACTTATTTTTGGCTTTTTAATTTTTTTTTTTTTTTTTGCCAAGGTGATGTTTATATTAAGAACCTGCGTTTGGTCTCGATTATCAATCCTAGAAAAGGTAAATTAATTTCCTCTTAATATTTTTAGAAATGTAATTCTATGTTTGTTGTTTGCTTTCTTTCTTTCTTTTCTTGGCCCCCTGCCCCATTCTAAGTAGAATTCATAACCCTGTCCAATCTTTACTGTGTCTACTATTTATTACTTAAGACATTTCTACTATACAAAGCAGCTTTGTCCAGACCTCGCAGACCTCGGTTAAGTAACGTTCTCACATTTGTGATAGGCTGTTTATCCCGCCTCAGTCTTACTTAATGCAGATGTTCCTAAAACATGCAAGTCATTTGGGACATTTCCGCTTTGAAGTTGCGCTATCGGTTTCTGACATATTATCATGACCATAAGAAGCTTCCATCTTTCACTTGAGAAATGCCCTCAGGTGTTTTTTGGTGAAGATTAACATTGATACTTGTACCTGACACATGACACCCAAGATGCATTTACTGTTCTGAAGGTGGAAGGTTGCATATTTACCACTCAAGCTTAAGTAATCCAAGTTCTTTATCTTCATAACAATGTATCCTGGTATCCTAGACCAGCTGGAGAGCTACAGTATTAAAATGCATTTTGATCCTACAATCTATTTCCTCATACGTGCTTTCTTCAATCTCTAACATTAACTTTTCATGGTGTGGTGCCACGTTATCCTGTGCTTAGAGTTTCCCTGCTCTCATGGTGGCTCTGCCTTACTTCAATATGAGCGTGACCTTTGGTTTAGTTTGTTCCTTGACGTGAGTAATGACAGGAGTGTTCAGCTGCTGCCTTTACAGGGGAGGGGGGGGAAGGCTTTCCCGGTGTACCTTGTTCCAATTCTGTATTTCCAACTTCATTATGTTGGCTTTTGGCTCGTGTGAGCATCCTTTCTTTGAATTTGACATTTAAAATTGGAATTGATCCTGAAATAGCACACAGTCATTAATCATGAACTCACCGTAACAGTGATGCTAGGCTACATAGCAATCATGAGGCACCTCTAGATGCTTGTTTGGGCTCTCACATCAGGACCTACAGGGTGAGTCGTTGGCCACAGTGTATCAGGTGAGAGGATTGCGCCCAAAGTCATGGAGTTTGCTGATCTGCTGGTGTTTTACATAGACTAGAAAGCATGATAACAGCCGATAGTTACATGCCACACGGTTGAGTACCCATAATTAGCAGCGGGTCCTCAAGGAAAGAGATGATACATTAACGGTAGCAGTCATCAGAAGACTGGCCTGGAAGAAAGCTTCATGGACCGGGTAGATTCTAGCTGAGATAAAAGACGGATCTTCATGCTGTGAGCTCTCTGTCAATAGGCGCCCCCAGCGCTGTTGTCGCCATTGGTCAAATCCAGAAATGGACTCTAGGACTGTTTACATCTGGTTCCCCACAGTGACTTCAGTGCACGGCCAGATTTAGCAAACACATGTTCTCATTGCAGACTCTGAAACTGCATTCATGACATATGAACCCACCGTGTGTGTTCTGTTGGATGTTCCCATTTGCCTTACAAGGTTCAAATAAAACGCATAACTGTGTTAGCTCCAAAACAGCATTTTCAAAGTCAGCATTAAAAGACAGAGAGATGGAGAGAGAGAGAGAGAGAGAGAGAGAGAGAGAGAGAGAGAGAGCGAGAGATGGAGAGAAGTCCAAGCACCTGCCCACACCCTTCAACATCTTGTTCATGTGTCAGTTCCAATTACTGCCTGTAGATCACTGGCTGCCACCATAAACAGCGCTACCCAGTCCCAACCATGAACGGTTTGAAATAACAATGGGGTCATTCATCAGGAGGGCAGGGAGAGCAGTCACCGTGAGAAAGCATGTGATATGAAGGGATGTACAGCATGTACTTAGAAAGACTCAGAAAGCATGATAGCCTCATTAGGAGGGAGGGCTCCTTGAAGCATGATAGCCTTATTAGGAGGGAAGGCTCCTTGGTCTCTGAGAAGAGGGGGGCCAGAGAGATCTGTAGCAAGATACATCTTTGCTCAGTATGAGAAGGGGGTGTATAAGCACGCCTTAAGGGCTGAAAGTTCTGGTCTCAGGAACTGCTCAAGTAGATGCCTGGGATTGATTTTTGGATTAAGTGTCTTTTTAAGTTCGTTCTACACCAGGGATATACTAGGAGACGGTCCCATGCAGAGATAATTGCTAAAGCGACCGATCCTAGCTTGGCAGTACATATTTCCTCTGGTGTCAGTGTCGAACTATTTTGGTTGCCCAGCAACCGGTAAATATCTGCGACATGCCTCAGAAAACGGTTAGTTCGCTCGTGTGAGAGTTGACTGTGCGGTTTTCCTAACACCGCACTGTTTCAGCCCCGACAAAGATTCTCATTAGATGTTGCTGTATCTCAAAATGGCGTTGAGTTGCGACCGGTGCAGTCCCGATGTTTGTTAACCATCATCCGGCTGTTCTGTTAGCCACCACCCACCCATATCAGCCGGCCACCACGAACCCATCGGGGACATGTTCGATCCAGGTAGGCAATGGTGGGAGGGCAGCAAGAGAATCCCCAGAGCTGTTAAAGATGGTTCTATCTAGATGACAGGTTTTGGATTGGTGGTCCAAGCCGAACTGTGAACCCTTCAACTTTGAAGTCCTGTGAAGATTTAGCATATGACTCACGCCAACCTCTAAGGTATAGAACAGAGTTTCGATGCATGACTTTCCATTCATGGTCTCCTAGGAAACTAGCAAAACGTATCTGGATCATTTAAGAATTTGATCTCATTTGTAAACAGTTGCTTTATTCTCCAAGAACCAAAGAGCCGTGATTTGCCATACTTCCAAATTAAACATCTGCCACGACAATCTTATTAGGCTTCCCTCGTAATAATGACTCAGAACATAAGATAAACCACGGAACCTTGTCAGAATTTACCCACACTAAATAATTGAGACACTCATTTCCGTTCCTTTGTGTGATCTCTCAAATCCAAATTGTAGTTTTAGAAAGTGATTGGTGATTGTTTTTTTTTTTTTGAGCAATTTCTTTCTCTCTGAAAGATTTAGAACTGCTCTAGGTAACTTTTTATTAGCCATCTCAAGACGTTGGTGGAACAATATAATTAATCACATTTTTTAATGAAAATGATGGCACATTAATTGGTAATTCGGGGATGAGAGTTCTTCCTAATTACTTATTAACCTTCAAATCAGATGTACACAAGGGAGAAGAACAAGATTAGTGTCTGAATATCAGGAAGTTCTTTCAAGGTGCTTTTTTATAAAAAGAATCTAATGAAACTGCCCCAACTCCACCCAGAGGAACCTTTTTTTTTTTAACATTAGAAGCTAAGTGACATGATGCTTAATGTATTAACTGGCTATAGAAGGTTGCATGTACCTATTTTTGGCCTGTTAGTGATTCACCGTTTAATAGAATTACGGTTGAATAAGATGATAGAAATGACGCTATCTCAAAAGGGTTTCTTTTACCATTTAAATTTGCAGATAGTTGCAAAGAGTTCTGTTAAGAGGAGCAAGAGCTATTTTTAGCCGTGTTTGGTCTATTTGGGAGTCTTAACTCACATGCCAGAAAACGAAGGAAGCGAAGCCTGCAGACAAGCTCTAGACCTTTGGTCTGAAATGATGTATGAAGGCACAGAGCTGAAAAGGTTAACTGGATAAGCTGTGACGTGAACCCAGCTCACGGCCGTTGAAACAGTGGATGCATCTAATTGGTTGGACGTAAACTGAATGAAGAGACAGATAAGTGGATTTCAGAGGACAAGGGTCCAATTCCATTTTCTCTGATGGAAAAAGGAACTCCCCCCACCCCCATCCTGGGGCTCTGCTGCTTCTGCGCTGCTGCTCTGTTGAATACGAGTTATTTGAAGGTCAGGGTTGCCTTTTTTACGCCTTCCGCAGATTCATTTTCTGCCTGAGCCTTATCTTAGGGGGAGGCCCTTTGCCCTGATGACTTTCGGAGCCCTTACCCGGTGTCTTCATGATCTAGTGGGGATTTATTGAGGGCCTGATGTGTGCCAAGTCCTGTCTATGGATAACAGGCACAGCAGGGAGGACACCTCAAGCTGCAGACAGCCTGACCAAGGGGTCGAGATGAGCATTAAGTGACTGTCAGACAGGGTGATGGGTGCTGGGGGGATATCGGTGAGAAGGGAAGGTTCTAGAGAGGTCCGTGGTTGGGGGATAGAGAACTGACTCCAGGGTAGGGAAATCAGGGGGAGACGTCTCGTCTCGCTGGACTTGACTAGAAGGGTGTGGGGTAGGAATGGACTCAAGGGCCATGTGGGAACTCTGTGAGGTCACTTGTCCTCAGCCACCCCACTTTTTGTCCCCGGCATCTTCATCCCACCATCCACTTGAAGAGCCATGCTGGGGAGGACCGCCCTGGGGCCATTGTGCAGTGGTACGGAATGGGACACTCCTGTGTGGTTCACAGAGGAGGCAGAGCCTCTATCCCTGCCGTGGGATTTGCCTCCCAATTCCCAGAAACTGTAGCTCTGTGTGCCTTTCCCTAGAAGCTGTGCTACTAAAAACCACGTGCAAAGAAAATGATAAACTGTTTAGGGTTGCAGTAAGGAATGGATGAGTGAGTGAGTGAATGAATGAATGAATGAATGAGCAGTGAGACAGTTAATCATGCAGGTAAATAAATAAGATCGTTCTTGAAAGGAGAGAACAGGCAAAGAAAGGAGTGATAGTTCCGGCTGTCTTTTTACCGAGTAGATATTAGATGTAGCAGGCTTTGTATTCCATGTAATTCTTCAAGTAATTCTGGAAGGTGGTGGATTAAACCAAACCAAACCAAACTAAACCAAACTAAACCAAACTAAAGCAGCAACAACCAAACTGTCAGCTCTGTGAATGGTAGTCACAGGTGGGGAATTATGGTGGTTTGATTAGGAATGCCCCCATGGGCATTCACATATTTAAACGCTTAGTCATCAGAGAGTGGTCCTACTTGGCAAAGATGAGGAGGTGTGGTCTTGTGGGGGGGGGTGTCACTGGGGTTGGGCTGTGGGATTTCAAATTCTCAGGTCAGGCCCAGTGTCTCTCTCTCTCTCTCCCCCTCTCTTCCCGATGCCTGTGGATCCACATGTAGACTCTCAGCTCCCTCTCCAGCACCATGTCTGCCTGTATGCCGCCGTGTTTCCCGCCATGTTTCCCGCCATGCTTCCCGCCATGTTTCTCGCCATGTTTCCTGTCATGATCATCATGGACTAAACACTCGTAATCTGGCCCCAATCAAATGCTCTCTTTTATAGGAGTGGCCCTGGTCATGGTGTCTCTTCCCAGCAATAGAATACTAAGGCAGGGCTTAGACTCAGTAACTGTTTCCTGAGTTAATGAATGAATCTATATCTTGGAGTGTGTCTCTCCCAACCCCCTTTTACTCCTCCCCTAAAACAGAAGTTCCTCAAGGGCAGTCACCTGGATTGCAGGCTGCCGGGAGATCAGAACTAAGGACGCCTTAAGCCCTTACCTTACCTGAAAGTCGACAAAATGGAGGTCTGACGCGGTCCAGAGCATGATGCAAAGCCCCGCACAAATCAAGGTGATTCTGACTTGACGACAAGTCAGCTCCTGCTCTCTTCCTATCCGTGGGACACCAAGTTGGCCATCTCCTTCTTCACACGGCCGCTCTCTTAAGTTCACTCTGCTGTCCGGAAGTGATTTCTTCTCTCTGGAACTCACCGACAAGGCTCCTTCTGTTCACAGGACAGCAGTGTGTTCCAGGAAGTTTCATCATGCCCCCTGTATAGTGGGGAGGGATGAGTGTGTGTTATTCCCCCTGCTTGTGCCAAAAGAGGCAGGGCGGAGTTGCATGCCCCTTGCCGTGGCAGCACAGAGATGATGGAGTTTATTCTCCATGACACGAACTCATGCTCACAGACACAGGAGAGCTGACCCTCAAGGTTGCCCAAGGTCTTTCTGAGAAGCTAATGTAGATGCCCTGTAATCCTGTAACGTCGAATGGCAACAGTAAGGCAAAGAACTTGCAGTGTGTCTGCATGGTTTTGGGGGGAAAGCATTGGGGGGAGAGGGGAGACTACAGTTCTCATCCTGAGAAATGATAGGCCAGCATTGAGAAGCCAGGTGATCATTCCAATGATTCAGGTGATTTCAGGTTTCACCAAGTGTAGCCATAGGCAGCTTGGGTCCCTAATAGTACTACGTTTTAGTTACTTTTATTAAAAAGAGACGCTGACTTATTGCCTAGCAGTGTCTTTTCTCTGCTTTCCTACAAACTGAATAAAAACATGAAGACCCTTATTACTCAGTGTCAGAGGGATTTTTAACAGCTTCGTATGGAATTGTGGACTTAACACATTCCTGGGAGTAGGAACTAAGTTTGTACTACTAGAAGAATCTGTATGCCCGTCCCACCAGCAAATGTTCTTAGTGCTGAATTCATCCCTCTCCCTTCTAGAGAGAGGTATTCCAGAGAAGCCCTCGTGTATGCTCACAGAGAGGCACCGTTTGGGTGCTCGCGCGATGGTATTGCTGACTTGCTGACATTGAGAGGTGGGGACGGTTACAGAGCTGACCAACAAGGGGAGGACACAGGGGACACAGAGGAAGCAGGGCTCATCAGTGCTGCGGCAGCTCAAGTGTTTCTGGTTTCACATGTCATACAGCAAACGTATGCTTATGTGGCCAGGAAAAAAGAAATGCCAACACATACTTATTTAGAAGGAATGAACTGTTTGCTGCGATGCGTTACGCACTATCATCTGCTTCTTACTTAGAATACAAAAAAAAAAGTGGGTAGCTCTAGCTACAGAGTTACTTATAATAGCCGCGACTATATATGTCACTAGCGGACCACCCAACAATTACACAGCTTTTCATCGCGCGACTTAGGTAAATAAGCAAGCCTTTCCCCTCCTGTCCCAGAACGTACACTGGCTCACACACAGTGAGAGGCCCCGGCTCCTCATGCGCCATCCCTCTGCCGTCCTTTAGACCGTAGGGTACTTACTCCCTTATTGCTGGAGGTTGGAAAGCCAGGCTCTAGTGAGATGGCCGCTTGTACAACCGTGACCGCACTGTAAAAGGGGGGAAGAAAGGGAGACTGCGTTTAGTAAGCCACCAGCTCTCCCTTCTCCCAGAGCCACAAGTAGAGAACAGAGGGGCCCGTGACATTTTGTCCTAAGGTGATAATGAAGCAGGGTGTCACGGGAGGACTTGAGTTCGTCAGTTTTCTTTACATCTCTTCCGGTGGTTGGGGGAGATTATGACTGAGTCTCACGCCTTCACCCTCCTGTGCTCCTGTCTGGCTTAGAACAGCGCAGCTCTCGTACAGCCCATCGGGCCTTCCAACTGAGCCCTGCAACCCTGAATTTCCCTCCCGCTTATGTTCACATCTTGGCTCATGCCTCCACGTTAACCACTGTTGGGATGCTCCAAAACCTGGCTGGTCAGCGTGATCCGGTTATAACCCGTAATGTTGGAGCTGGGCAATGTCATATCATTTAGTTATGTGTGTCTAGGATGATAGAGCATCCCTCTATGTGGAATGGGTTCCCAAAATCCATTCGTGTTCTAGTGATAAACACTGATCCACTTACCAGAGGCTCCATAGATTGCCCAGGCCTCCTAACTGACACCCACGTTCAGGGGACCTGGGTTGGTCCTATGCTGGTTTCCCAGCTGCCAGTCTGGGGCCCATGAGCTCCCCCTTGTTCAGATCAGCTGTCTCTGTGGGTTTCCCCAGCCTGGTCTTGACCCCTTTGCTCATCACTCCTCCCTCTCTACAACTGGGTTCCAGGAGTTCAGTTCAGTGTTTACCTGTGGTGTCTGCCTCTGCTTCCATCAGCCACTGGATGGAGGCTTTAGGATGGCATATAAGTTAGTCATCAATCTCATTATTGGGGAAGGGCATCCAAGCCATAAACAAGGCTCAGTTTTGTTAGGTTTTCCTCTTATTTCTTCTGTTCAGTCAGATGAGGAGGGGAGACAGTTCTAGAAAAATACCCCAAGGTTTCTGTAACACAGAGGAACCGAAGGCCAAGGAAGTGATTTCCTCTGAGGGTGTGATCCTGGAGTGTGGCTGGGTAGCAAACTCCTCAGAGGCCTTTGAGCAGGAGAAGCCCTGTCATGTGTGCTGTACGGCATCACTCACAGACCGGCTCCAGGCGGAAAGGCTTCTCCGCCGTTCATGGGGAACTGGAGCGTGGCCCCAGCATGGCGGCCTCCTGAAAAGCGCCGTTCATTCAGTCTTTATAAACGACTTCGTGAGGTCGTACCCTCTTTGTAGGTGCTTCGTTTATTCTCCCTGCTGCTTGGTGGAGCAGGGTTTGAACCTTAGAACTCCATTCCCATTACGATGCAGGCAAACACTTCTGTTCCCCACAGCAGCTAGGAAAAAACAAACAAACAAACAAAAAAAACACCAGACACATGCTTGTGGTCTTTGCCCCCTTCCCCAGCGCAGACTCTGTTGTTGTCAGGAACAGAACTGAGAGACAGGATGAGGGTGCCCCGGGGAATGGCCACAGGCGGAGCTGAGCTTCAGAGGTCAGAGAAAAGCAGCAGATAAGACGTTAAGCAAGGGCCAGGCCAGGACCCTTCACTGGCCTGCCATCAGCATTTATGGAGATTCCGCGAAAAATTCTTACGTTGTCACTTCCGTAGCTGAGCGGAGAGGTCCAGAGACTTGGGATAACCGCAGCCGCTGGGTGGTTGAGGAGGGATTTGAACCTGGTCCTGCAGCCCACCAAATCTGGGGTCCTTGGTAACCTGCTTGGAGTGTGGCTCCAAGCTTGAGTCAAGCCGGGGTGATTGCACTGGGTGGCGAGCCTCGGTTAAGATAGTGAGGTAGGGGAGTCTCCTCAAGCAGACATTTCCTAACTATCCGTGGACGAGAGCTGGCAAATTCGGGTGACGGTCGTCATGAGACAGGTACCAGCTCCCCCAAGAAAATGCCAACAAGTACAGGGCTCCGAAAACTGGGCAGGCCAAGGTTTTCCCCTAAGTAGAGGCCAGAAGGCAGTTGACACCATGGGGGAAACTAAGAGGGAGCCAAGGTCAAACACAGCCAGGCAGAGGACACACAACCCAACCTCAGAAGCCAGGCACAGCACAGCCAGGCAGCGGACACACAGCCCAACCTCAGAACCCAGGCACAGCACAGCCAGCCGGCTGTTAGCTCATTCTAGCCTGCTTCGGATGCTGCCATGACGTCTTAGATCATGTCAAATTTATTAGAAATATATTACGTTCCAGGAAATGCTGGAACCCTGAAGGACGGTGAGGTATTTGCTCTCCCAGGCATCAGCCACCGCTGAGGCTGCAGAACTCATGCTCTGTTTCTCAGTGGCTTCCGTGGGTTATTGTTTCCCACTGAACTCTTGCCTTGCATAAACAAACAGAAAAATAATAATAGCTTATACTCCCACTGAACATTATAGGGAAGCACAGACTTCCAGCTAATGAGGTTTGGAGACAACATAGCAATTCTGATATCCTGTCAAGCTTGTTAAATTGCGATTCTACCAGGATTTTACATGGAGACAGAATTGGCACATCCCGGGATACAAATTAGGCATAACTGCATATGCATCAACTCCTTCGGGTCACTGGGATACGATTTAATGCCACAATTGAATAAACGGTACTGTTGCGACCTGAAAAGCCTCGGGAAGTGACTGGGGAAGTTGAGGCCATTGTGTGAGTGTCATAATAGTGTCTCTTCACGCTACAAGCCCACATCCAACGTTCTGTGATTTCAGAATTGCTGATGGTATCGACCATTGACTGAGCAGGGGTTTTCAGTTTTAAAAAGGTTCTCTGGCTAATTTTGCTGGAGAGTGGTTTAGGGAAGAAAGATTTGACATATATTTTATGCACATATTTTTAGTTATTTAGTTAAATAAAAATGTTTCATTTAGTGTGTGTGTATTTGTGAGTGTGTGTATGAATGTGTGAGTGTGTGAATGTGTATAGGAGTGTGTGAATGTATGGGTGTGAGTGTGTGATGTGTGATATGTGTGAGTGTGTATGAGTGTGAGTGTGTGTGAATATGTGAGTGTGAATATGTGAGTGTGTGTGAGTGTGTATATGAGTATGAGTGTGTGAATGTGTGAGTGTGTGTGAGTGTGAGTGAGTGTGTGATGTGTGTAATGTGTGTATGAGTGTGAGTGTTTGTGAATGTGTGAGTGTGAGTGTGTTTGAGTGAGTGTGAGCGTGTGTGAGTGTGTGTATGAGTGTGAGTGTGTGTGGATGTGTGAGTGTGGATGTGTGTGAATGTGTGAGTGTGTAGATGTGTGTGAGTGTGTTTGAGTGTGAGTATGTGTGCATGTGTGTATGAGTGTGAGGGTGAAATGTGAGTGTGTGAGTGTGTATATGAGTGTGAGTGTGTGAAGATGTGTGAGTGTGTGAATGTGTGTGAGTGTTTGTGTGTGAGTGTGTGCAAGTGAGTGTGTGAATGTGTGAGTGTGAGTGTGTGATATGTGTGAGTGTGTGAGTGTGAATGTGTGTGAATGTGTGTATGAGTGTGAGTGTGAAGATGTGTGAGTGTGTGTATGAGTGTGAGTGTGTGAAGATGTGTGAGTGTGTGAATGTGTATATGTGTGTATGAGTGTGAGTGTGTGATGTGTGTGTGAGAATGTGTGAGTGTGTGTATGAGTGTGAGGGTAAATGTGTGTGAGTGTGTGAGAGTGTGTGAATGTGAGTGTGAATATGTGAGTATGTGTGAGTGTGTATATGAGTGTGAGTGTGTGTATGAGTGTGAGTGTGTGTGAGTGTGTATATGAGTGTGAGTGTGTGAAGATGTGTGAGTGTGTGAATGTGTGTGAATGTGTGTGTGTGTATGAGGGTGCACATGTTTATGTGCTGTGAAGGTCAAACAGGAACTGGGGGAGTCAGTAGTTTCGTATATGGGTCCCAAGGTTGA